AATAGGTTTCTCAAGTCTCCTATCTTCTCCCCCACCCTTCTAGCCTTCTTCCTACTGCTCTTCAGTCAAACATTTGATTCTAAAATATGTCTTCATTTTTCCTGCTAACCCCACCCCCATAACCTCCACCTCTGCCTACTATTCCTTAAACCAGCTAGTACGGAAGTCATCTGCAGTCATCATTGTTAGCTTCTGGAAGGGTTCTCCTCTGCGAGCTGTATCCTACACTTCTGCAGTCTTTTTAAGTTTCCAGACCAACATATTCCTGTGCTTTTCTCTCTTTCCCTCTGCCTTTCTCAGTTTCCATAAAGGTGCCTTTTTCTCAGGTGATTCATGTAATGTCACAGTGGTCCCGAGATGGCTTGGGCCCTCTGTTTAAAAATTATTTGTATTCCATGTGCTTGAGTGTTTTGCCACAGGCATGTATGTATGCCTGTGTGCTGTGTGCTGCTTGTCTCTTGCCTGTGAAGATAAGAAGAAGGTGACAGATCCCCTGGAACTGGAGTGACGGATCATGTGAGCTGCTGTGTGGGTGCCAGAAATTGACCCTATGGCCCCTGAAAGAGCAGCCAGTACTCTTATCAACTGAGCCATCTCTTCAAGTCCCAGGAGCCTTCTTAATCTATACAGTGGTTCTCAATCATGAAGTTATTTTTGTTGCTACTTCATAACTGTAATTTTGCTACCGTTACAAATCATGATGTAAATATTTTTGTAGGTAGAAGTTTGCCAAAGGGGTCCAGCCCCACTGGTTGAGAACTGTTGCTCTATACACATGCCTAGCCCAACCTTGGGGAATGGGGAGGCAAGAACAAAAACAAGAGGGGGTGACGAAGTCTGAGTGAGGACAGCTTGGACAAACAAAAAAGAATTCCTCAAATAAATTGGTTATTTCTGGAGAAACAATATTATGTAATTCTACTCACAGGAAATGCCTTAAGCAGGTGAATTCATGAAGACAGAATAGAGCGTAGGCTGCCCAGGAAGAAGGAACTCTGAATGCAGTTTAGTGGGAGAGGAGTTTTGTTTGGGGGTGATGACAAGAAATTTTGTGGAAAGTGTCACTCGGCAACAGAGCTAACAGCCTCTGACACACGAAGGCAGCAAGTGTTCTGCTTTTGCATGGCCTCCACAAGTTTCTACATGACAAAGCCCTTGCATGTGTATTCTTTCATTTGATCCTCATAACACAAATTATACATGCCAGTGCTGTTCACAGGTTCATTTTCAACGGCACATTAGACTAAAGTTAGAACTGAAGCTATTTATCAAGTATTCGCTCATAAATGAATGCTATACCTCCCATGTACTAAGCACTAGTTTGAATACTACCTTCATAGGAGTGAAGAAGAAAAGATGCCTTCCTTCTTGATGCTCATACCCCATGATGGATTGTATTTCTGAAGGCCTGGCCCCTGGCCACCTGTCCACCCACATGCCGTGGTATCAGTCCCTTTGAGTACAACCACCAATTCAGAGGAGAGAATAGAGTCTATACTGGTCCCACTGGAGTCCAGTCCAGAAACTTTATTGAGCCATTATGAACTGATTATAGAGCTAAGACAAAGGTAGCCGAGGTACGAACTGGGTCTTAGGTGTGCTAATTTAAGGCCTGGACCACTTATTTACAAAAGCAACAGTACTCATTTGTCCCTATTGCCCTAACACTGATCCTGACGAAGTTTACACTGGGTGTTGCACCCTAAACATCTCACTTCATTCTAAGTACAAAATGGCCATACTGTAGCTACCACATGCTAATTTTAATAGCACAGTATAGTTTTTTGTACTCTGTACTCCAACATTTTTATGACAGGAAATCACACAGTTTTCTAGAGAACAATTCCTCATTTTGTTTGCAAAAGTGTGGAGTCCTGTACACAAAGAGATCAAAAAGTGACCAAGACCAGTATTTCAGAGAAGTGAAGATGTGCACAAAGCCAAGGAGGCCACAAGAATGAAGGGCATATGCTGGGTCCCTACTTAACAGGTGTTGGGACCTCTAAAACATCCTGAGACAATGGAGTTATTTTTCTTATTCCTTACTGGCTTTCTCTTCATCAAAAACTTCTCTAGCCTTCCCAAATATGATTCAACTTTTCAAAGTGACTAATTATATAGGTGTGTCTCCCAAGTAAACATCACTTAGCCTTCAGAATAGGAGTGAATAAGGACATGGTCCCTGTTGTTTGCCGGGATGCTTATAGTTCCAGGGATTAACCAGAACAAAATGTGGATATTCAGATGTCTGAGGGATTGGGGAGCCATACTCGAGGCATCTAAGCAAGACTAAGGCACTTGTTCGGTGACTCCAGTTTGAGTAGAGTCAGATGACAACTCTGTGGGAAATGATTCACACCTTCCACCATGTGAGTCCTAGAAACTGAACTCGGGTCCTTGGGCTTGGCTGCAAGCATTTTTACCAGCCAAGACATCTCCCTCACACTGGTGTGTTTTTAAATTCTTTTCTCAGTAAGACAAAGAACTTACAAAAATGAACCCTCATTTCCCCAGTAATATCTCTAACAACAAGTTTCAGGGGGTCCCTCTTGGCTGCCTGGAGCTTTCCTCATGTTCAATAAATATCTCCTGTATTTTGTTCAAGAGAAAAAGAAATGGACTTATTTATGACAGAATCTGTGTAACTCATGTTTTATTAACTAAGACAAATGAATGGTAAGGAAGCTAACCCAGGGGAAAGGCAACAATTGCTACCTAGTGTTATTACTTCACACACTGAAGTAAGGGGAGTTCTGGCCATTTCCCAAGGACAGACACTATGGGACATTTGCTTTGACTCCCATGTATCTCCTCAACATTTACAAGCACAGTGACTGCCGCCACCCTGCCCATGCCCCATGCCTCACCTTTGTGGTGCCACCATTTGTCAAACGGACTTTGAGACCTGATAGAAACACATCCTTTGGACAAATAAATGTTCCTCTGCCACCCTGCCCATGCCCCATGCCTCACCTTTGTGGTGCCACCATTAGTCAAACAGACTTTGAGACCTGATAGAAACACATCCTTTGGACAAATAAATGTTCCTCAGTCTTCTCATTTATAACAGGATGACTTCATAGATTGTTAAAAGGATTTAAAATATTAGTGATTGGAAAATCTCATATTATACAGTGTATAATATGCACAACAGCAGTTAAAATACAATGATGTGTGTTCATGAGTGTTATGTCATTTCATGAAGAGTAACATTCTTTGTGTAGGAAGATGCCAGTATCACCTTCATTGAGCTAAGGTCACAACAACTACTAAGTGCTAAAGCTTAGCTGCCACATCATACACCGTAAGGGACAGCACATGGCAGCCATCATGATTAGGTAAACACCTGGCTGTGTTTAGCTTCAGTAGGATGACTGAAAAGGGTGGCTCTCAGAATGCTTTTGAAGGCATTCTGGGTGTTGAACTTGATTTGTGCTTAAATTTGACAGTGGTAGAAAATGCTGCAAGGGGAAGCTACTAGTATTGCCAACCTAACATTCCCAAACACCATTACACCTTAGGCCTGTGGAAAGAGCTCATGACGGTGTTGCTGTAGCCTTGATCAGGAACCTGGAAGGAACCTTTGCTACTTCATAAACCTGCCGGCTCTTCCAGTGGAACATTTCCTCAGTGTGCTCTTCATAACACTTTGGGCTTTCCTCCTTCTCCATGGCTCCCTCTCTGCTACATGGCTAACAGCATGCTCTCTCTCTCTCTCTCTCTCTCTCTCTCTCTCTCTCTCTCTCTCTCTCTCCTCTCTCTCCCCTGGCAGATGCTGAGATTTACAGCTTGCCTGAACTGAATTTCTTCCTCTTATCTCTCTCCTCTGGCAGATGCTGAGATTTACAGCTTGCCTGAACTGAATTTCTTCCTCTTCCTCTACATCTCCTTTTGAACTCCAAGAAATTTGTCCTTGAGTTTCCTCCTGAGTCCATCCTTAAATTCCTTTATTAATGAGACTAAAAACCATAAGGGGAGAGCTCCATTACCCTAGTAACATGCACAAATCTGACTCGACACTCCAAATTTCCCAGTAATATTATTACTGAATCTAAATGGACAAAGTGTGTATGGATGTGTGACAGACATGGAAAAGGGAATTCTGGGGAGGGAGCATCACCTGACTCTGTGGGCAAAGTGACAGACATGGAAAAGGGAATTCTGGGGAGGGAGCATCACCTGACTCTCGGGCTTTTCAGCTACAAGTTCACACAAGTCAGGTATTTCTTACCTGTCACATGAGGAACTTGTATAATTTGAAGTCTGTGACTGTCAGCTGCAGTATATATAAGAATCATACAATAAACTCTTTTATCCTTTTGTAAGAAACTCTCTGGGTCTCCCCAGACTTTCTGGTCTAGTGGGACTGTGGTGCAGCTTAGCATGAACAAGTCTTAAAACCTCCCCAGTCTCTAACTCTGCAATCAGGTTGAAGACCACTGACTAAAGCACCTCTAGAGACCACCCAGATATAGCATCACACCTTTCCATTTCCTGACAGGGATGAGGCCATTTAAAAAAAAAAAAAAAAAAAGTACTTGTGCCCCTCCCTTTGGCTATCAGACTAATGACACAATGGATCCCAAGAAATTCAAACTTCCCCAGGAATCTCATGCTGCAGGGGAGTGGGGGGGAAGCTGGGGCCCTGATGGCAGCCAGGGGGGGAGCTTGACTCCCAGAAAGATTTCAGGAGAGGTTGAAGCTAAGACAATGATGATGGATAATAATGGGACCACACCCACCCCAGGACTGCATAGTTAGGTATGCATAAGTCTTCATATCAGGGGCAGGAGCCCCTGGACCTTTTAATTTGCTCTTCTCCCAATGTATCTGCTTTGAGTAACTCTGTTTTCTTGGTCTTTTACTATTATTCATCTGTTTAATTGGCCTACTGAGGATTGATGGCCAAGTCTAGCTTGTTGGAGTTTCCAGGGCCCTGGCTCTGACCCTACCAACTCTGGTAACTCTAGTACACACCAGAAACGTAAGAAATGAAATACCTGCAGCAGAATCTTGTTGCCATCATAGTCCTGAGTCTGCCACCTGGTGCTGCTGATGGGAACACATGGATTGGGTAGAAGAGGCACCAGTTGGCCGATCTCTTGAACCTTAAATTGCAGCACAGAAGACTCTTTGGGGTCCACTGGCATTCCCAGGGGCAGCTGCTTCAGAGAGAGCTGCAGGCTGAAGCCCTCGGTGGCATAGAGAACAAAGAAACAGAAGTTGCTCTTCTGCACGGTGGCGTCTCTCTGTAGGATCATCTCATATAGCCGGATGGCATCCTCATAGTTATCAAAACTGCAGTACAGAGTCACTCTGAGGGTATCAGTGCCACAGTGCACCGGCCTCATGCCCCACACTGGCATCTGGTGGTGCAGGCTGTAGAATTCCTGATTGGCGGGAAGATAGGGACAAGGCCTCCCCTGTGCATGCTGGGTAGGGAAACCCTGCCAGGGTGAGTGCTGTAGGAAGTCCAAGACTCTAAACAGCCGCTCCTGTCCAAGGCTTTCCTGAAGAAACAGCAAAACAGACATCCCAGGGAAGCGGGCCCTCCGGGGGTGGTACTTTTCATGGTAATTCACTGGTCTGGCCCGTTCAGACACTAGGAAGAGACGCACCTCTGGGCAGATACAGTCCAGGAGCTGGTCCAGAGCCTGCTGCAGAAGCGAGCCGTTTCCAGTGTCAGCAAGAAGGTGCACAGTCAAGGCTAGAGACTCCTGTGTCTCATCCATGGCAGGCCTAGGTGAAGATGATGGTCACCCAGCACGGTCCACTGTTCAGCCTTCTAAGTTGAACCAAGGTCTCATACGGAGCCTCCTAGAAAAACTTCAGCATCTTCTGAACCAAGCTCTTAATCAGATCACACATGCTCCTGGCTTCCTCCGATGCTCCAGCAGGAAATGTGGACTTTGCTACACACAACAGCGGTAGCTCCATGTCATCTGTTCTGGGCAGATGTAACTATTTGCTTGGCATTTTCAGGCATTCCCTGGGGTTTCTGTTTGACCTAAAAACCTATAATGCTGAGAACCACGCCAGTGGGTGGTTCTTACATTCAACTCGGTAGAGGAAATGACCAGGCCGAGAGGAACAGGAGGCGGCTCTGTTGCACTGATAGCCATCTGTAGCTCTGTAACACTGAAGAGAGATCCATTTGGTGGGCCACAATGGGCTCTGACTTCCTACTTAAATATCCTGATGTTTACAGTGGCCGCCAGGCCTCCTGAATAGGACGCCTTCTTTAAAGCCACTCCCAGTCTTGTCTGCTTGCCAGAGCCTTCAGCCACCATTGCTTTTATTTCATTTTTGATCATTTTCTGCTAGGTCACAAAAAAGAGATATTTTGTCTACATAGTGTTGGCCTCATTGAAAACTATTTGTCTGGCTGGACTAATAGCCTGGATGCACTAAAATGACATTAAGAAACTAGGTTGCCTTTGGTTCGTGTAAATTTGTAGACAGTGAGCTTTCCTGTTGCAGTAATTCTGATGTCTTCCTATTGAGGATCTGTTGATAAACTATCTGAAAACTTTAGAAAAATTGACTTAATCAGCCAACAAGCCTACAAAGAAGAGAGTATTTATCCCCCATTTGCTGACGAGAAACTGAGGCATAGAAAAAAAATCAGGTAAATTGTCCAAACTAACACAGTGACGTGTCAGGGGAGAGATTTGAAAGATCGGAAGGGCCCATAGTCTCTAGAGCTGGGAAGGCCAGCCACAGTTGATTGTTTTGTTTGTTTGTTTTCTTGAGGTGAGGAAAGGCTGCCATGTCAACTTCTAGTTGACACATTTACCTGTGGATACAGGCTAATGAATCTTAAACAGAATATCACACAGTTGACATAATCACCTAATCTGTTCCCAAATCTTTAGTAGTCAGGCATAGAAACAAATACCAGTAATCCTAGGATTCAGGAGATGGCTACAGGGGGATTACTGTGAGCTCAAGGCCAGTTGGGTAGAAGCCAGTCCAGGCAATATAGCAAACCCCTATTTTAACAAAAAAATGCTATTATGATAGTTGTCTGTCACTGGGTCTAGATATAAACCGTATTCTAAATGTAACTTTGTTCAAAGGGAAAGTATAATGCCACAGTGAATTAGAGTATGTCGTAACTTGATCATTCAAAACCAATTTTAATGGAAGTGATAACTTCCCTAATTTTATGTAATGTGAAAGCTATGATCCCGAGCTTTGATCATGGGCTGGGTACTTAATTCTAAAGAGACACTTTGCCTCTCCATAACAAAGATTGGAGCAGTAGAGGTACCCCTGGGAGAGGACCAGTAAGAAGTTTCACAGCTGAGTCTATGTATCTTCTGCTTCCTTTCATAGCTATCTATATATTATAAAATTCTCGCAGATATATGAAGAAGAAACAGACTCTTTCTCTCCCCGACTTGGACAAACTATCAATGAATTCACTTTTCTTTTCTAATTTCTGTCTCCTAATCTGCAGGTAAATCTGAGGCGTAGTTATGGACTTGAGCACTTGGTAACAGTAGAATAACCAAATCTAAAGTCAAGGCTTCAATCAGTGGAAAGGAACCGTCTCCACTGAGATCTGATCACAGTTTTAAACAATTGAATTTTATAATCCTAAGATTTCTGTATTAGAAAATTATAGAGATACAATTTGTAACTGACAAATTGTCTTTAAATTTCCATGTACAACTTAGTAATCAGATTCATTTTATTTTTAATTTTCTGGGAATTGTTTGAGGGTTTTAAAAGAATTACAGCTCTCAAACTTAAAAAAAAAAAGCCACCTCTTAACTCCTGTCACATGCTAACATTTGAAAGCAGTAACTCTCTTTCCTCAGCATAAGGCCCTTTCCTCTCCCACAATCTTTCTCTTACAGAGCCCCTCTTCTGAGTCACTTAGACCAAACCCTGGTTTTTGAAAGAGCTTTTGAAATTCTTAAAATAGCATAAGTAACTCTACATGTTTGAAGAGAAAAACACTACCCTTGAGTCAAAAATATTAACTCATTAACTCACAGCACTTTGTCTAACTCAGATGTTAAAAGTCTTATGCAGGAACAAGTTGTTTAGCCTTCCATTCAATGTCCTTTTTCCCTCTTGGAGTTGTCATTTTTGTTTTTATATGACAGATCTCTTTAATCTGTTGGCATCTAAAGTGCCAAACAATTACAGTCAGGATCAGGGAAAGGGTCAGCCAGCACTCTGACTGTCTTTGCAGTTCCTTTTTCTGGAGCAATGTGACACCCTGACACCCTAGGCCAATACCTTCACTCTGGTCACCCTCTTCCATTCACCACAAATGGCAGCTTCTTAGCTCAGCTCCACTAAGCTTTGTTTTGAACAATGCCCCCCACCCCCAAACACAGAGGAAAACATTCAGGGACATGGTCAGCTTTGACTTGCAGATTCTGAGCTTTCTACCATATTTTCCCTAAAATGCAACCCCTGTCCAGGTTCCTGTCAGAATAGCAGCTAGTGGTCCACTCCTTACAGCAAGGTGAAAGTGTGGTGACAGGAAATAACAAGAAATTGGCTACTTAGGAGAATTTGTTGGGATGCGTGAGACTTTCTGGATTTGTCCCTTTATAAGTCTCATACATATAGTGTGATACCCTAAACCCCTGAGATTCCTACCCCCACATCCCCGACAACTTTAAGAACATGTCTTTTCATCTTTAATCTATCAACTATGTTTGTATTTTTCACCTATTGAAAGACTGGTTCTTCCTCTAGAGGAGAGGGCATGGGTCACCCAGGTCCCACTTTGGAGAAGTGCCTTAAGCCATTGATGTCACGATCAAGGGCACTATAAGTTGTCTGGGAGATCCGTGGGAGAGGCTGTGAGGTCTGGAGGAGATGAGATGCTACTTAAGTCTTGATAAGTGAGAGGGAAGGAGACAGGCAGGTGAGGAGATAGGTTTTGGACTGAGAGGAAAGGAGCCGGTAGGAAGAGGCTTCTCAGAGCTGTGGCTGACTAGAAGTGCACACATCACACTACAGCTGGAAGGAAGCCCAGGTCCTTGTGAGCAGCAGTTTGGGCTTCATGTCTAACTCAAACAGAAACATAGAAGGGTTGTCTTGGGCAGGAAGGATGTAGATACAGGATCTCACTGTGTAGCCCAAGGTGACCTCACATTTGCAGTCCTTCCCACTCAGCCTCCCTGTGCTGGGGTTACAGGTGTGTGAGACCCACACCTGGCCAAAGAGTTGTCACAGGAAAACAAGAAGAATCATAGACCCAATACCCAGTGAGTAGGCTTGTGAGCTAGTGAAATATCATCCCATCAGGCTTCACACAGTGGTGCCCATTGGTGTCTGGGTGAGGCTGTCAGTAGCAAATAAGGACTAATGTAGAAAAGGAGCCGCCAGGTGTGAGGATCAGGTGTATGGCATGAACACGTTGAGATGTCCTTTGGACTCGAGATGCCCAATACCACCTCGGAGCGGAGCAACAAACCAGAGACTATGTATTGACTAAACTCCAATCTTCATGGGATCACCTATAGAGTGAGTATTTGACAGGGATGGGACGAAAGGAAGATGGGCCATGAACATACTCCATTTAAGGGACACTCCTGTCCCTAGGTGCTCATCTATGTGGTCCCTAGGGACAAATAGTGAATGGGATGTGCCATCCTTGCTGTGTGGCTCTTGGGTCTTTGGTCATAAGATTCCAGGACATGGCTTTGGCTGGTTCACACTGTCACTTCGACATTGTCACATGTGTGAGTCATTCCTCCTCCTCAATTAGGAGAACTGAAAAGCAGCAGCTGTCTCCCAGCAGACTCTAGATCCAGGTAAATTTCCATTCCTTTATGCCTAGAACTTAACTCTGCATCTTTGATTCTGCATTAGCTCTCCAGGAGCCCCCATCCCCCTACCTCCCCCCACCCCACCCTGCAGCATCTGAGGGAAAAGTGGTGGGGGGAGGCCACATCTCTCTCTTGGTTACTCGCTGCTGGTTGTTAGTTTCAGGCATCTGTACTGGGCTTCTGACAGGGCACGCACTCAGCTGCAGCCACTAAGAACACCACCTGTGCACACTCACTATGCTCCCTTTTAAAAGAGCCCTGCCCACCTCCCATCCTCCTCTCTTTCTCTTTCTTCCCCCTGTCTTTGTCTGTCTGTTCCTCTCTCTCTCTCTCTCTCTCTCTCTCTCTCTCTCTCCCTCTCCCCCTCCCTCTCTCTCCCTCCCCCCCTCTTTCCCCCCTCCCCTCTCCTCTCTCCTGCTGCTCCCATCCCCAGAGGCTGGTCTCTCCCCTCCCCACTTTATGTCCCTTTCCCTAATTAAAAAAAAAAAAAAAAAAATTGCATGGCATATTTATCTCACTCTCTGCTTTTCTTCAATTACAACACTAGTAGCCTCTAACTCTCTACCTTGGAGTGGGCACAGCTCTGTCATGGATGCAGGGCTCTTCTGTCTCCTAGAAGGTGAGACACACACCCCCACCTCACCCCCGCCAGGTGGGAGTTATTGTCACCACACAGCTGGCTGTTGATAGAGCCTGGATTTCTGGTTTTAAACCATGCTTCTCTACACAGCAACTGTGGCTACTCAGGAAAGTCTTAGGACTTCAGGACATATTATTAAAGACACACACACACACACACACATATTATTAAAGACACACACACACACACACACACACACACACACACACACACACACACATATTATTAAAGACACACACACACACAACACACACACACACACACACACACACACACACACACACACACACAC